TATGTATTTGACTAATAAAAGTTTTTTTGTGAGTATGTAAGTTTGCTTTCAGTTTTCTAATCGGTCACGAACTTTTGCAATAATCTAACCCATCTACAAAAATATCTCTTTAATATATTTAAAATGGGTAGGCGGGTGTTGGGTGTTAATAATAAGTATCAGTATAGAGCTACTTTCATGGACCCAATTTAAACAATTCGCCCTAGCTGTTACCATGGAAATTTCGATTTCAATTATTAAAACACGTAAATTTCAGAAATAAGTTATTCCAAAAAAAATTTCGCTTGAAGATGGAACAGAGCTTATTTTAACTCAATTTAATTCAAACAATTAATTTGAAGTTTTCGGCTCTTGTTTTGAAACATGAGACCTCTTATGTCGCGAATTGGAATCATATTTTTAAATAAATAATTATATTTATGCTCTACTTTTGTATCGAGCACTATTTTTTAAAAATAATAACTAAAATACTAAGGAACTTTGGATTATTTGCCTAACCAGTTCCTTCCTATTTTCTATATATTTTCACATATTATATATATATATATATATATAGAGAGAGAGAGAGAGAGAGAGAAAGTGAGAGAGAGTGAGAGAGAGAGATATCGATATAATAGCTGGCCACACGTATTCGAGGATACCCGTATATTAAGGTGGCTAACCAATCCCTATTGCAGACGCTTGCTCAGGCACATTTGTGTTTATTCAACGCCCACAGAGCTCACCTGCGGTTTATACTGCAACTATGCTGAGCAGACCTTAGTTAGAGTTTCTGGGAGGGAGCATGTTATCTAGCGTGATCAACAATCTGAACTAGGCCAGCACACTCAAACCCTCGGTCACGATGACTTGTGACTTCGTGCTAGCACAGATATCGACAGTCCCTAATGGTTCCGTCTACACAGTTTCACGCACAAGGCCTGGGTTAACCCATGGTATGGTTTTTCAGGCACTTTTTAAAGGCGCCGCACGCTGGCATCGCCCCCACCCTCCAGACTGATAACATCAGGAAGTCACCTTCCCGACAAATCAACCGTGGTGAAATTCGAACCCGTGTCTCATGGTAAGAAAGCGAATGTTCTAACCACTTCCTAAGATAGATACATACATATGAACAGACTAAGATAGATAGATAGATAGATAGATAGATAGATATGAGCATATATATATATATATATATATATATATATATATATATATATATGTGTTTAGGCAGCATTTTTCATTCATACATGTTTCATTAAATAATATAGACAAGCTTAGATTGGATTAAAAATATGGATCAATGTTGTGATTTTATTTCTTCGTTTAATGATAACGTTATTAAGATTATCAGACGTTTTGAAAAGAATTTACATAAAATAAATAGACAACACTTGTCTATATTATTTAATATATATATATATATATATATATATATATATATATATATATATATATATTAACAGTCTGAGATAGATAGATAGATAGATAGATAGATAGATAGATAGATAGATAGGAGCTTTTGTTGTATCTATATATATATATATATATATATATTAACAGTCTGAGATACAGAGATAGACACACAGACATCAACAGAGTAAAAGCTTTACATTGATATTCTAGAATGCTATATTTTGAATTTCTTCAGTCTCTTTCTTAATCCTTTGGATCATCTCCAGCTTATGGAATTTGCTAATCCCCCTTAATCTCAAACCAGCTCAATGCATACACTTCAATAATTAATTTAATAATTTGTTGAAGTTCGTCATGGAGTTCTGAAGGGTATATACCTCTGGTCCACATACACATTCACCTAAAATAAACCATCTTGAATTTCGTAATAGTCCAATTTCCCAGGCGCTAAATGTTAGAGTTACCTTTGTACTGATAAATCATCAGTTACCTCCCCTTATGATCATGGAGGTATAAAAAGTACCCTGTTTTTAATCCGTCAGTAGACGAGTAGCCAGAGTAAAATGCAATAAAACTTTGCTATGAGTTTATTCACTAGTTCTGTTTTTACAACAACCTTTACTTTTGGAAATCCCTAGTGTATATTCCAAAAGGAGCATTTGGTCATTATAAGAACCCTCATTTCTACTTTAAGCGCCATATTATCAAAAGGATCATTGTTATATATATATATATATATATATATATATATATATATATATATATATATATATATATAAATTTTAATTTGGGGCAAAACATGATAGACCCTTTCACGTGGACCTGTAAAAGTAGTCGGGCTTATTGTACTATGACCATATTTAAAAACAGCTCTGACTGGTACCTCATTCCGACGTAATAAACAGCCAGTTGTATATAATCTTTGATGGAGCTTCTTCTTCGGGACAGTTATATTCAGAATTTGTATTTGTGTTGTCCTGAAGAATAGCCTAAAGACTGTGTCTTCTGTCAAATTCTTCCAAGACACTAAAAGCTTCTTCTACTAGAACAACACTGGTGGCACTTGTAGCTGGAATTACTCTTTGAATCAGTCTCAGTTCCTGTCTCTTGAGTAAATGTTAAATGGTGTTCAATTATTTAGTGTTTGACATCTTTCATTTAGTTTTTCCTTTTTTGCACACTGTTAAGACAGATGGCAAACACTAAATGCACTGACAACCGTAAAAAGAGAAATTAGCTTCTACGTTCAACGTCTAAACTAATATTCAGAATTTGTTTAGTCATACTTGAACTATGTATAATATAGTGACTAAATATGAAAGGAATAATTATCATTAATCATTAGAAATCTATGAACTTTACAAAACTGGACTATTTTCGAATTCTGATCAAAGAGGCGGTGTTCCACGTGCGGAATATTTTCAAGAAATAGTGATTTTTTTTTCATTTTGAGTAATAAATATTAATAATAAATTCACGATATATGATCCAGTCCAATGTATTTAGAGATTCTGTATAAGATAGAAAAAGAATCTGCAATATTAGTGTTCCTGATCTGGCATCTCATCTTCATTCTCTTTCCCACCGCCTCTTCCCTGTGACTTTTGTATAAATAATTTTTATGCTAATTGTTTTGACGAGTATTCTATATATGTGTGTGTGTTTTTGTGTACATATATATATATATATATATATATATATATATATATATATATATATATATATATATATATATTCAAGATATGAACTTGTGCAAATTGTTTCTTGACAATTTTCCATCTATTTTTAGCAGGTATTTTTATTCAATAATCCATTGATTTCTCTCTGTCTATCTCTCTTTTTTCTCTCGACATATATATATATATATATATATATATATATATATATATATATATATATATAGTTATAAGATAGATAACTCAAACGGCTAGATATAAGCGAGAGTATACTCGTGTGCTAGTGTATACACGGGCAAGCAAATAAATAACCATCAAAATTTATACATGGATGTAAACATAATAGTGCTCGATGTGGTTATACATATTAATGAATAATATATATATATTATTTATTTCATCCCAAGTTAGGCAATAAAGCTACTAAGACGCAAGGAGGTTACTGATTGTTAGAGAATATGAAAAAAGAACATTATTAAGGAGGACATTAAAAGAACAAGAATTAAAAAGACAGAAGATAACATGAAGTAGATTAAGATTGCATTTAGATAGATAGATAGATAGAGAGAGAGAAGAGAGATGAACAGATAGATAGATAGATAGATAGATAGAGAGAGAGAGAGAGAGATGAACAGATAGATAGATAGATAGATAGATAGATAGATAGATGAGCAGTCAGAGATAGATAGATAGTAAGATAGATAGATAGATAGATAGATAGATAGATAGATAGATAGATAGATAGACATGCAGTCAGAGATAGATAGATAGATAGATAGATAGATAGATAGATAGATCTCCGTTTGCTATGGGCTTGTATATATACAGTAATCCAGAGACCATTACAGAAAGAAAGAGTTGTCGTCTGCAAAGAAAAAACGGAACCAATAATAAAAAAAAAAACCAAAAATATGTGAGGAGTGAATGAAAAAAATGAATGAATGGAAAGGCTGTGTACGACGAAAGGACTGACCGCACGTGAATGACAGTTCTGATAGCATCCCCCCCACATCTCCACCACCACCCCCACCAAAATATAAAAAAAAAAACCCAAAAAAAACCCCCGAAAGTCTGACCTGTGCAGAAACGGAACAAACAATAAAAAAAAATCGGACAATAGAGGAGTGTTAATATGCCACCAGATTGACGCCAAAACCGGCAAACGTCATCGGATATTTTTTTTTTCTGTTTGTTTGTTTTCTTGTGCTTTTTTTTTTTTGACTTGTGTTTTGGCTGTTTTTTTTTGGGGGGGGGGCTTTTTTTTTACATGGCATGTCATTTCAGGACGTGTGCAGTCATGGTTTTCCACAACTGCCTGTCTTTTTTTTTTTTTTTGGCTCCTCAAATAAAACCCTAGCTTCTTCAATATCTGTCTTTGTCTTCTTTTGCGATTCAGTCACTTCAAACTCGAGCCGGTTATTCGCCATTTTCTTTTACTCCCCGCCCCAGTGATCGTTACATTCGCCAAGGCTTCTTTCCTCATTCTCCAGGACGTTTTTCCTCATAATGTATTGGGTGGGTGGGCCTTTTACGGCAAAATGAAGTCCATGTTGAACGGCAACGCTTCTAGATCATTTCACATTAACGCGGTCTGAGTGGGGCGCTGTTCTCTATTCTTGGACCTACATTGCTTCTTATGTTCATCAACAACCCTCCTAATGTCATCATTTCTCAACTAGTTATTTATACTGGTGAAATAACTACTTACTTCTGTATTAATAGCATATATATATATATATATATATATATATATATATATATATATATGCAAATATATGGATAAAGATCCGACAGTATGAAGAAAAATATACGGAAAAAACAAACAAAAATCTTAATATGCAATTACGCTGTTTTAATGTTAATATAATGTCAACGTCGAACGTTTCGGTCTAATAAAAATCTTAGGCGGATTTATGAAGCAGGCATAATATCCATCTCACGCACGGTGAATACTAGACCTGGTTTCTTTAGTATTTCCCCTTTTCTAGCGAGATTAATGCTCGACTAGCGTACATATGAATTTTAGATCAAAATAGAATTCTTTTCATTTTTTATTTCAAAATACTCAAATTTTAGGAATACATTTTCACAGCGTCGCCCACGTGACGACAACGTGACCATGTTTAAACGGAGCGCTGATCTTATAAAACTTTCAGTTATCTGTTTGGATAAGTCTTGTTCTTATGTACATCGTCTTTGTCATGTTGTATTGATAATGTTAATTATATTTTATGAATATGTCCTGAAGATGGTTTATTAGACCGAAACGTCCGACGTTAACATTATCTTAACATTAAAACAGCATAATTGCATATAAGGATTTTTGTTTGTTTTTTCCGTATATATTTTTCTTCATATATATATATATATATATATATATATATATATATATATGGACTCTCCCGTCGGTTTCGACGTATGAGGATCTGACAGCTTATTGATTCAGTTATGAAATTTTGTGCAATAATCTTATGTGTCATTTAAGACCCGCTAGGGATTTACAAAGGAGGCTACATATAGAGTAAGTGTGAGGATTGTGAGATGAGATCACTGCTAGATTGGCTGACCTTTTAGATCTTGCTCTCGCTTCTTGAAGATGATTCAGACAAGCAGATTTAAAACTGCTGAGTCCACTAAAACACATTGATCTCCATTCTACCCGCTCCAAGGCTAAGCGCTCAAGGGTGTTATGTGGTATATTGACAGCTGACAAGTTGCTTTTCAGCTTGTCTTTGTATCTTAGCCATGGGCGTCCTACATTCCTGTAGCCCTGATCTAACTGGCTGTACATTAGATATATATATATATATATATATATATATATATATATATAGCTCTTGTCTATCTATCTATCTATCTTAGTCTGTTCATATGTATGTATCTATCTTATGAAGTGGTTAGAACATTCGCTTTCTAACCATGAGACCCGGGTTCGAATTTCACCACGGTTGATTTGTCGGGAAGGTGACTTCCTGATGTTATAGGTCCGACAAAACAGAACTGAGAGCTTCCCCCGAAATCGACCCCCCAATCTGTTGTTAACTGGGGCAAGAAACGACTTGTAACTTTTTAAAACGAATCTTCTATCCTTTAATCATTATAGAAAACCTTTTCCGTCTTCCATCAGTTTTGCTGATGCTAACCTCCAGGAGAGCAACTCATGGCTCCTTCTTGGTCTCGCGTATTCTACTGACATGAAGTAAAGTGTTTTACTAGTTCCACGTGCCATGTCTCTTCCGGATGTCTCAGTTAGTTCTCTTTAACTCAACTCTCCAACTGTTTTGGTTCACCACTGCTGTGGCCTGGTATTGAACTCACAACTTTTTGGGTCTAGTCACTGGATCTAACCAACGCCTTTATCCACCGGGCCATGAATATGCCAATAAAGATGAGGACAACAGTCTGAATAATGTAAATAATCATAATACCTCATCTCAGAGATATAGACAGATATTGAAGAGATCACCGTGTTTTCCAGATTACAAGACGCACTATTTTTCCTTAAAATACCCTGAAAAATACGTGTGCGTCTTCCAAGACGAATGTAAAGCAACACCTAGGCTCAAGCTTGGACGGTCACCTAATTGGCGTGATGGATATGGACGTGTATTTGTATGTTGTGTCATTACACTGTAATATTAGCTATCTATCTAATTGAGCCTTTTATATGATTTAGCCTCAATACTTAGTTGTTACAAGTATTTCCAAGACTATGAACCTTCCTGGAGCCGAGCCACAAACTTAAACATGTTCTGTTTAATAGCAGCGGCGCTTGTATGTCATTGTTATACAAACAAAATCGGACGAGTGATTAATGTAAACAATACGTGGCGATAGTATGTGAGGGACGCATGGTGAATGTGTTGTTGTATGAAAATGACTTTTTTTATTCTTAGAAATTTCTTTCCAATATTAGGGTGCGTCTTCCATGCAGCAGCGTCTTGTAAGCCAGAAAATATGGTATATTGAATCAATTGCTCGGTCTTTTGCTAAGAAGGTTGGTGCACTGTGACGTGCTAGAGATTTTTTTTTCTTCAAAAGGAATCTTTCACGTTTATGAATCTGCTGTTCGGCCGAGCATCAAATATTGCTACTATATCTGGTCAGGTTCTCCTGCTGTATACCTCAAGATTCCCGACGAAATCCAGAGAAGTGTCACTAATGTTATCAGTCCTGACCTGGCATCTCGTCTTTAGTCACTTTCCCACTGCTGGGTTAAGGCCTCCCTCTGCCTTTTCTATACATATTCCCACAGCCATTGCTGTAATAAGCTGTCTTTCTTGGCACCTCGATCGTATGAATTTAAGCGTACTACTAGATTGGCTGTTAGGTCTCATCGTTTTACAGTTGAAATAGTTACATGTAAGTGGTTCTTTTCTCTCACTACGCACACCAGGAATTTTGGTTTCTTGCTTCTCTGCTAACTAAAATTTCTAAAATGCAAATGCAGCTTCAATCGCTTTCTTCTGTCTCCCTGAAGACTGTTCTTTTATTGTCCTTTCTCCTCAGTAAAGTCTTCTCATTCTCTTCCGCTCCCAGTAACTTCTTGCATCTTAGTGGCATTAACGCCTTGCTTACGGTGAAATGATTAATTTGAACTGTCATAGCTGAAACTTTTCTCTCAAGTGCCAAACGTCTTATGGATTTGGATCTTTTCTAAATGATCTCTTTAGCTCTAAGTTGAAATGATGATCTTGTTGTGACATCCTGGTCTAGTTGTCGGGTGTAACAGCAAAATTGTCCAAATTGTGTAACAGCGTAATTATCCACCCTACAAAATATTTATTATCTAAAAAAACACACTAAACTAATTGAACTTCTTTTTTTTTTTTTTTCAGGTTTTCAGTTAAGACAGCCATCTTGAAACCATATTCGTAAGAATCACTGAAAAATCATTTGAGTTATTCAGGTAAAAAGAGAACGGGTTAAAAAATCAGCCCCACTCTTCCCAAATGAGCAACGGTGAGAGGAAAAAGATCAACCAGGCCTTCAGTAATGGTACCAACATTCATACTCTCTCTGGCTCCCATCTTCAAAGCCCATTCAAGAACCATCAAGAGAACGGTGAATAAATTTTAAAAAGAGGGTATAGCAGAGAGGAAAACTGGATCAGGAGGTCACAACAGGAAGAGGGGGGTCATCATTTCAACTTTGAGCTAAAGAGATCAATTAGAAAAGATCCAACTCAATTCATAAGACGTTTGGCACTTGAGAGAGGAGTTTCAGCTATGACAGTCCAAATAGCAGTGAAAAAAACTTGAAAATGAAATTGTACGTGAAACCTGTGAGGCACCTTGTTACTCCAAGGCAGACAGAAGGTTAGAGAGGGCAAAGATCATCTTGAATAAGGATCCTGAAATAATATATATTTGACCCTTATTTCAATCCTTCATGAGCTTCCACTTCTTAACTATGATTAATTAATGATGAACGTGTCATTTCGCCTATGATTGATTTCATCACGATTCTTCTGTTAAGCTTAGAGAGTAATTACACATTCTTATTGCTCCAATAGTGTTATAAAATCTCGGAGAATTCCAGTAAAACATCTTTAATCATTTCTAAGCTACAACAGTTCAGAACTTAATATAACAATTACACAATTGCTGTTACACCTGATATATATATATATATATATATATATATATATATATATATAGAGAGAGAGAGAGAGAGAGAGAGAGAGAGAGAGAGAGATAGCTAATATTAGTGGTAAATATACACATACATATGCAAAATATATAAATATATATATACATACATGCATAAACATACATATATATTTTATATTAAAAAAATTCCAAGAGGATAGAATCCAGGGAGAACTCAATGTCCAGGACAGAGTAAGGATATAAGAAAAAGGCTTAAACACTAATATTCCATGGTCATAATTTATTCCATTGGAATCGTAAATACGATCCAATTCATCAGACCTACAAATTCAAAAAGAAAACAGAAAAAACAACTCCGGAAATAAAAAAATAAAAATAAAAATAGAATTTAGAGAGAGTG